GTCAATCCCGCGCGTTCGGCACCAGCCCGTCGGGTCGCCCAACTCCTACTCTACTCACCTCTTACTTCACCCGTATGCCGACCCTTCCTGATCGCACAACCCCGAGCTTCCAACAACGGGTTAAGAGAGCTGACTAATCGCGCAACCGAAATTTATAGCGTGCATGCATGCACGAAGAACACGGAATTACCAGGACTTAGAGTGGGGATTAGAGAGGGAGCGTCTGCGTTCTGCATGATCGGCCGTGGCGTGGGGGACGTAACCCTTCTCCACGCATCGATCCGAGCATGCAAGCCGCGACTTACAAAAAATTCAGCAAAAGAAGGAGAGGGAGGGCGGGAGAGACGAAGTGCAAGAAGAAGGATACAGTTACAATGGCGCCCGCCCAAAATTACAGTTACACACACGATTAAGGGCGCCTACTAATCAGAATACCGTTGCAACCGTAAAAAAAAAAGAAGCACATAGACACAAGGCGCCGCGCGGCAAGAAAAATCCTAATTACTTAATTCAAAATCCTATCTAATGATGAAAAGCAAAAAGCACGAATTCCAGAAAGAAAGTCCGAAATTCCAAGAGCCATTGGGGGCTTGACAAAATTCGAAAACGATTCGAAAGGAAATTCAAAAAGAACAAAGCAATTTCCTGCGCGATGCCCTTGCCCAAAAGATCGAAACCGAAATGAAAGAAACGACGTCAACATTTATTAATCGCGCGCGCGCGGCGGCGTGCCAGACATCCATCCGACCAATCAATCAACTGGCCGTCCCAAGGACACACCCAGCTCCAAGTTCAGCCATCTGAAAAAGAAGCGACGAAAAGGACGAAAAAGCAAGGATACTGATGCAATTCTCCACCGATCCCGATCTCCCGTAATTGGTCCAATCTTCCCAGCTTAGGACCCCTCATTGCAACCGCGCAGGAAACCGCGCGTTGCAGAAAATGGTTCGTCACATATGTGACGCCCAGGGGGTTCCAATATTAGCAAGTTCCTGCTTGCTTGTTGACACGTGTCGATTTCTCTAATCGATCGACACGTGGAGCACTTCTGTCTATGCCACTTACCGTTCAATTGCGTGTGGACGTCATCCACGTGGCAACATTGCTCTTCTACTAGATCCTCAGATTGGGTTCTCGACGATCCAAGGACGGGATCCTTCTCGTGCCATTGCCGCGACACGCGTTCAGTACCGCTGCATCAGTAATTAACCGGAAGGGGGAAAGGAAGGCGATACACATATGAGGGAGGGCGAGGCGGCTCCATCGTGAGCTCGGGTATGAAGCGCCCGATCGCGGTGAGGTCGTGGGGAAGGTCTTGAAAGCGGACGATGCGATGGAAGCGGGGGAATCGCTGGCCGTTGCGGGGAAGGGAAGCGAGGTAGTCTGGGTAAAGGGAGACGCGGGTTCGAAGGACGTCTGTGCGGAATCGATCATGGTCTTCGCACGCGGGAAAAGTCCCCGTAACGATGCACTAAACCTCTATGTGGTTACGGCCTCGCCACGCGGCGCTAAGGAGTAGAACGTGGAGGGGGTAATCGGGGACGGCGCATCGAACAGAAGGGTGGGGGTGGACAGTCAACTCTAGGCGGGCGGAGTAGAAGTGTCGGAAGGTGGCGATGGGGAAGGGATTACGGGGGAAGACGACGCGATGGAAATACTGCTTGAAAGAAAGATGGCTAAGAGGACGGTGGTATATGGATCGGGGACGAAGGGCGAAGCCCCTCATTGACACATTGACGAATTGGGGGACGGGCGGAGGCAGAGGGGGAAGGGGATCGGGATCGGGGTCAGCGCCTTGTCGTCGCGGCGCTCGAGGTCGTGGCACCAAGGTCCCCATGTTCCGGCTTGGGCGGCTCGGGATCCTTGGAAGGATCATTCGGTGTGGGGTTGATCGCCGACCGCTTTCCCTCTGCGACCTCTTTCTTGCGCAGCGCGGCAGCCTCAGGATTCTCCTCCCGTCGATCCGGTCCTGGCACCCACTCGAACTCGTCGTCGTGCGTTGGCTCCTGGCCGTCTCCGCTTTCCACTTCTTTGTCGCCGTCTTCGTCCTCCTCTTCACTTGGCTCGTCCTCACTGTGCTCACTATAGGCTTCCTCCTCTTCTTCCGAAGTCTCCTCCTCTGCTTCTTCTTCTTCTTCTTCTTCTTCTTCAGCTTTCGCCGACTCTTCTTCTGCTTCGCGTTCTTCTTCCTCGTCCTCATCCAACCAGGCCGCTGCTTCCTCGGCCTCTCTCCTTAATTCTCCTTCCGAATCCTCTTCTGCTTCCTCTTCTGCTCTCAGGGCCGCCCACTCGAACGTCGTTGGTTGCCGAAAGAAGCGGGGGTTAGTTAGGCTGTGGACGTCCAGGTACTTGCTGCGCGAGGGAAAACGGTCGTCCGCCCAGCGCTCCTCGATACAAGTCGACCACTGGAGGCTCGGGGCGAGAGTCCTTGAGAGGGTATGTGGCACGGGCTCTTCGTCGCTCTGAGAGACGATGTCAAGGGGAAGTTTGTCGGCCAGTCGCGCGATCACGATCGTAAGTTCGCGCACGATCTGTGATCGGTTTCCCCGATCCACTGCTCCAAAGACGAATCCCAGAAGGTCTCCCGCCACGTTGGTCCTCCACGCCTGAATGATGAGCAGCTCCACGATCTCTGACGTGGGCCTCCGATCGCCTTCCCACGTCCAGTTCAGACCCAATCGTAGTAGGCAGAACGAGAGCTCAACGAACTCTGCACGCCACAACCTCCAACGATCCGGATCAACGATGGGTACTGTCAGCGGCTCCAGGCGGAAGGAGAGACGAGGGTAGTGAGAGGATTGCTAGAAGATGGGGAAGAGAGAGGGAGGAGAAAACGTCGAGATCAGCGCGCGGCTCATCTGCGCGGCTGGAAGGGAGCAAGTTCTGGGAGGACGACAGGTGGCTCGCGCAGCGTGTTGACCTCGATGTCGTCGACAGGATAGCACTCGTCACCATGCCTTGTGAGTCGTCGATCCCAATCAGTGGCCAGATCACGACCCCACTTGTACAAGGTGCTTTTGATGGCGGTTTGCCGCGCCGGATCGAAGGCGGTGATGTCGCCGCTGAAGACTACCACGGTAGACACGTGGCTAATTCCTGGGGCCGCTCGCCGTTGAAACGCCGTTGCCTCGGCCAGCACCACCACCTGGGGATTGCTCGTGAACCGGAACTCTGTCGCGCTGTACACACCCGCAGTGCAGAAAAACTGCGCAAGGCGCATGAAGTCGGGGCTGATCCGCGGATGATGCACTTGGCGGATGGCTGAGATCTCTCCCCGTGGCATCAGCAACTGATTACTGAAAGCTCGCTCAATGGCGATGGCGGGGGTGAAGGGGTGGCAGAGAGGGCGCAAAAAGAAGAGGGAGATTGCGGGGAGTCAGAGCCATCGTCGTCAATTTCCTTAGAAAGAGAGACCGAGGGAGAAGGAGACGGAGTAGAGGGGAGGAGGCGAAGATAGGACACATGGCGTGTGATCGGACGAGCCGATCGACTGTTAGAGACCTCGGGGGCGAGACGCACGGTGTCCACGCCGTTAGGGCCAAGTTTGATCACGCGATATCGCCCGAAGAATCGTGGCGCTAGCTTACCCTGGCGAGCACATTTCCTTACCTGCACCACGTCCCCCAATTTGTACTGGGGCCGCGGACCCGCATTCCCATTTCGGGCCTCGTAGCTTCGGACCTGTCGGCCTTGGGCTAGTTCGGTCATTTTCTGTCGTTTCCGGGCTAGCCTGGGCAGTGACCGTTCCATTAGCTATAGGTGTCGTTTGGCCTTGTCCCTAGCCGTGGCCCTGGTGGGCCGTCGGTTCAATGTAGACTCATCTGGGAGGCTTGGTATTGAAACGCAAGCGATGCTATTGGTCCTTAATTGGAAGGGGCTTAACCCCGTTGATTCATGGGGCGTTCCGCGATGGACCGCCAGGATGTGATCGACGATATCGGGTCAGGGCCTCGGATCCCGTGCCGCGATATTTCGTCGCAATGCTGTCTTTATCACCCGGTTAGCGTTCTCAACCAGCCCATTGGATTGTGACATGTGGGGTGCAGTGTTCCGTATGGTGACATCATGTAGGACCTGATTCCTTAGCACTTCTCCCCTGAATTCAGCCCCGTTGTCGGTCAGGATCTCTTCCGTATCCTGATGCATCCCGAGGAAATGGTTGATGTATCGCGCGATTATCGTGGCTTGCCGCGTGTGACAAGGATACGCTTCGATCCATTTCGAGAAATGGTCGACAAATACCAATAGGACTGAATATTCACAACTATTAGGGCCAGGGGGCACCGCTATGTCGGTGGTGTCCGTGCTTACTCTTTGAAATGGTCGTTCAACAACCGTGGGCACTATCGATCTTGGTGGCTGAATCGACGCTTTATCAGCGGCGCAGACTTGACAGTTGGCGACAATGTATTTCACATCGTCGCGGATATTGGACCAGTACCACTCATTTTTGTCGATAGCGGACTCTGTGATTCGTACGGCAAAACGGGCCGCAGTTTCCTCATGGGCTGTCTTAACCCAGTCATACCGCATGAACGGATGCGGTACCACCATCCAAATCCCACTGCCGTCCGTTTTCCGTTTTTCTAATCTACCTTCTATCCATCGATAATCCCGAGCCCTTTCGTTGGCCCTCCTCCGATCTTCCTTGGTGAAATCCTGGAGGGGGTTACCTACTAGGGTGGCAATTAAGGCAGTATCAGTCCATACTTCGACCCTTCTAAACTTCAGGGTCTTCTCCAACCCTTCTGACGTGGCATCCAAAAAGCGAGCCTCGGTCGGAATCTTGTCGGTCCAGCACAAGGGGCACAACCACGGTTTACTATCGTTTCTGTATTGGATGCACGAGCCATGGGCTCGTGCGACACACTGTCGGCAATCTATCCAATCTGCATACCCTTCCCGGTTAGGACGCATGGAGACCTCGTATACGAGGGAGATGGCTTCGCAAAAATAGCAAAATTTGTCAGGCAGGGATATGAAAGACGAGGAGGAAGGGGGACAAAGAGGGGTAGTGGGGTTACCTTCGTCACTCATCGCCACCGTTTTGCTTCTTGCCACGCGGGAGGACTGCCACCTGTCCGTACTTAGGCTCGTTGGTCAGGTCCGGCTCTTTCCACGGTGTAATTTCCTCGCCCTTTGGTACCTTGGCAGGTCGATGCAGACGTGTCAATCCGTCCGCGTTGCCGTGTCGCTCTGTCTTTCGATGGACGATATCGAAGTCGTATTCTTGCAGTCGCACCTCCCAACGGCCAATCATGTCCGTGTAATTGGTGAGCTTCTTCAAAGCCAGCAGAGGCTCGTGATCCGTCACGAGACGAAACTTCTGTCCGTAGGGATACGGATGGAAGTGTTGGATTCCCCAAACTACCGCATAACACTCGCCTTGAGGTGTGGAGTCGTTTTGGCGTTCGTCCGGCACTGTTCGTGACGCGTACTCGATGACGTGTTCGCAACCATCGTTCCCCTTCTGCGCTAGAATAGCGGAAATAGCTTCCGGTTGCCAGTCCGTGATGAGAATGACTGCTTCGAGGGGTCCGACCGAATCAAAATAGGGGTCGCCGCCAGAGCGTCCTTGAGGGTTGCAAAAGCCTGTTGACACTCCGCGTCCCAACTAAGAGGCTGGTCCTTCCTTAACAGATTCGTTAGTGGTCGCGCAATCGCGGCAAAGCCCTTGATGAAGCGCCGGTAGTACGACGCCAACCCCAAGAAGGCTCGAACCTGCGCCAGTGACGTGGGAACCGGGGCTTCTTTCACCGCCGCAAATTTTCTCGAGTCCGGCCGCAATCCTCCACGTGTCACGACGTAGCCCAAGAACAAAATTTCCGAGAGGAAAAATTCGCTCTTATCGAGCGCAATCTTGAACCTAACTCTCTCAACGCGCCCAATGTCCATTCGATATGTTGCGCGTGCCCGTGATAGGTTTCCGAATAGACTAGGATATCGTCCATGTACACGATCACGCATAAGTTAATCATCCCTTGCGTCAGCCGTGTCTTGTTAACGAAATTCTGAAACGTCATGTTCATCGCTCGCTGAAACGCGGCAGGCGCATTGCAAATCCCCATCGGACACCGAACCCACTGCCACGTGCCCTCAAACAGTACAAAGGTCGTCTTCGACCGATTTTCTTCGCTTACCAAAATATGATGGAAGCCATGCCGAATATCAAACTTGCTGAAATAATTAGCGCATCCAATCGCATCTAACAAATCATCAATCCGGGGGAGGGGATATACATCTTTGATCGTGATTTCATTCAGCTTGCGATAATCAACTTGAATGCAAATGCGAATCGCTCCGTTTTTCTTCGGTACTAACACTACGGGAAAGGACCAAGGTCCGGTGGCGGGTTCAATCCAGCCGCTGGCTTCGAATTCCCGAATTCGTTTGAGAGCCTTTTTGCGTTCAATCAAGGAATACCGGTAAGGTTTGCAATGAACCGGGGAGTGATTTCCTGTCTGAATTTCATGTTGGATTACTAACGACAAACCAATGTTAGTATCTGTCATACTAATCGCTCCTTGATATTCCGTTAGAATGTCCGCAATCACCCGGTGGATCTCATCCGGTACGTATTGTGGAACGTGTAGTTCAAAAAGTTGATCCCCGATCCGAACGTTAAGCTGTTTCGTGCGCGTCAGTTTTGCCACGTCGGGCGGAGGCGCCGAGATGAACGAATGGTCCGATCGCCAAGAGAACACCGTGGCCATCATCTGGGCATCTTCTTCCCGGATTGCCACGTGTCCTTCCGGGGTAATCCCGTCACAAACATCCTGCCATGGCACGTCCTTAGTTGCGATCTTTATCCCTAGTCCGTCTGTTTCTGCCTCGAAACGTCCAGGGGGTTCCAGAGAGCTTGCTTCCGCCCCCAAGCGTAACAATCTCACTTCTTTAGCAGATGTCAATAAAGACTTGGGTAATTACGTAATGTCGCAATAATGTTCTTTGTCGCTATACCTAGCCAGGAGAGGGGTGATTCCTTCGTACAGAGTTTGAGGGGGTTCCAAAGAGTCGACCATCCTCGAAATCTGCACGAGGGGCTCACCCAAGATCATCGCCTTGGTCCTTTGAATTTTTCGGTTGGTCAGTTGCATCGTTCTCGCTATCGTTTTGGGCGGCGGGTAGTAAACGCGTTGTCGTACCAATTTCAAGATCTCCGGATCATCTTCGTCACTGCTTTCCGCATCATTTGTTGATGACTTTCCATCTGTGGATTCATCCCAGGAGATCATGTGGAGAGTCCCTGCCATCATCGGCGAAACCCGCGGGACCGCGTTAATAGTAGTGCGAAGGGTCAATCGCATGGGCACAGCGTAGGGTTTTCCTCTTGTATTTCGGAGGACGATCGATCGTTGCTCGAAATCCAGGTTCGCCCGTAACGCCACAAGAGCGGAAAGTCTGAAAAGAACGTCGTACGTATTAACGTCTAGTACGACGACATCCCCAAGCGCGTATACTTTTCCTAATCGAAAAGCGACATTGGACATTTTTCCCACACTTTTAATATTTTCTTCATCTGCCGAAACGAGTTGATCTTTCTCAGTGAGCATGATCAGATCGTTTTTCCTACCTGCCCTTTCGACCACTCTCAATGAAATAGCCAACACAGCTGCTCCCGTATCTATAATTGCGCTGTACGGAATTCCCCAAATTTCAATATCACATTCTGCGGATTTCCACGGAATTGGTTTAATCCGTAAGAAATGATCGTCTTTCTGGATTAAACCTACCCGTATGGGATCCGAAGTGCCTATTGGGTTTTCTTCGGGGGTGGGGCTTTTGACTTATATGTTCGGTGTTCGGGCGAGGGCGAATCGCTTTCGGTTTGCCTTGCAATGCTGTAGCATTCGCTCATTGGCTTGCTCGAAGATCGAGAGTAGAAGTGGAATCCGATGGTCCAAGGCTCGGATGATGTTTAACACATCGATTTCTCCTGTGACGAAGGTGGGTCCTCCCGTCTCCATTTCTCATAGAGACGGCCGCCACTCCGCCACCTCTTTCGGTTCTGGCGCTGGTCTGATTTTTTCGATCATTCCAAGCCCAGGATATCCGAGTGATACGTACTGATCTAGCGGGATTAGCTTGGTGGCCTCTTCCGTGGTGGCCAGGGCACTTCCCCCACCTTCTACTTCTTCCATCAGAGCTCCGACTCGTCCAGGCCCGTTAGCGATGGGGGCCGCAGCCATGGGTGCGACGCCGATCCGCTGTTGCGGGGGTCGGTGAGGACAGTCTCGGGCCAAATGCCCTGGCTGATGATAGGCATAACAAACATTTAGATTATTGGCGACTCCTCCGAGCTCAGGTGCTGGGGCTAATCCTTGCTGCATCGGAGGGGCGCGGACCGCAATGGGCCGCATGTTTCTCATCATGGTTTCCAGCCGACCATTGTGTTTTCGCTGGTCCTTTTTGCTTTCTTGGATCAAACTAATCAAGGTTTTGGTTAGTTCGAAAATGGCTGCTGATTCGTTCGTTCGTACGGGAACCTCAACTGGTGGCGGGGGTAACGCCCTGACGGGTGGAGGCATCACAGGAGCGGAAGTGCTCGGAACCTCACTTAGGACCACTCGCTTGGGGCCTATCTGTTCCATATAGGTGACAGGTCCTGATACAAACCCCATGTTTTCAAACTTGTTCTGCAAGGCAGCCAACTCAGCTCTCGCTCGTGCGAGTTCGGTTGAGTCTCCGTCTCTAGGATAGTCTTCTCCTTCAAGGAAGTTCGCCGCGAACTTCCGTTCCATTTCTTCTGCAGCAGCCATGATTTGCTGTAGCGTGTGAGTGATGGGGGAAAATTGCTTTCGCAACTTAACCCTTATTGTTCGGCTACGAAGCCCGTCAATGAACAGGTCTCTCCCCACTTGCTCACCTCGCTCAGTTTTCACGAACATTCTGTAGAATCGGTTTCGATATTCTGCAACGGATTCGAGAGGTTTTTGCACTCGGTCCTTGATCATATACAGCGCTTGCTTGGGGTGAACGTAGTCAAATCGGTCCCATTCAAAGGTCGGGAGGTCAACCCACACATAGGTACTGAACCAATGATGAGCGTCCCCCCCCAACCGGGCGGGAATGTTGATCTGTGCTTCATTGTCAGTATACTGTTGGGCTCGAAGTGTGGCCAGCCATGCTCCTGCGAGATGGTGTGCTGGATCAAACAAATAGAGATCAGGTGGCGTCATGGCAGCCCGTGCACATGGGGCGGGTTGATTTGGTGGGTTAGCATTCTATTGCGTAATCGGGTTTTGCACATTGGCAGCCATATTGACTGCTCGTCGGTTAGCCGATCTACTTCGGGTGACGATAGGGTCGCGTCTATGCGCGATCCGAGGGCGAGGTCGCCCTCGGTTAGCCAGGTCGCCTAATTAACGTGACCCTAGCCACGTGTCGGGCTCCGATACCAACCTCACGCCCAGCGCGACTTCCTTATCAGAGTGGGATGTGGGCCTGGAAGTGTGAAAAGAGGTGTGCCAAGGATTTTTGGGAAAGTGTGGGAGTCTTAAGGATATGAATGCAATTGGGCGAATAAGGGGCGAGTGCGCAAGGGACTCAAGGCCCGATGGGGCCGGGGTACTGTGGGCGACGGTTTACGGGGAAGTCCCTCCGGGGCGGAGGCGGTCCCGAAAAGTTG